TGATTTCTTTAGGTGAAATTACTGAACAGTGTTTTATTACCTGATAAAGCAAGAAATGTGTGCACACGTGTTCAGGTTCAGATACGTGTCTGTACCCTCACTGTTTGATCGAATGTCTCTTAGTGAGTTCCACCTGAAGCAGATGCTGTTGATGGCCAGTGCAGGCTTCCACACAAGGCACCCACAGACACTAGTGGGAACTAGTTTAACGCTGTGTGGAGTCGAGAGGGACCAAAGTAAACGTTCATGCCCACGATGAGTGTAAACGTCTGATCACAGCTGTGGAGCTTCAGCACTGACACCAGAAAGCTTTTGTTTTTAAGGTGGACGTCACGTGTCAGTGACGACTGCTCGCCGCGTGACGCGTGTCTAAATGAGGCTTTTGAGCTGCGTTCGCCGCTGTAAACGTTTTGTGTACGACAATCATCACACAGCTGTGGAAGGGAAATGAACACGAGAGCAGGTTAGCGACACACAACCATCTGTGCCGACCCTGCGCTGTATCAGCACTGACACAATCACACATGCCTGCACAGTGCACTCTATAAACAGCTGCTGCAGGCGGGGTAGATCTGTGATATGGTCGTGTTTAAAGGACAAAGGCCTCGTTTCACAGTTTCACACACGGGGACAGCTTTCTCTGTGAAAATCAGTAAGAAAAGCTCTGACACGGCTCGTAGCTGTGAGTCTGTGAACTCGTCTTTGATCGAGCTGCTGCCATCCAGCTGTTTGCTACCTGCTAACCTTTGCATCGCTTTGTCATGTAGTCGTCTTTGTAAACTCGGCCAAGACGCAGCAGAGTGCAGGACAGTAGTTGGTGATTCAGTGTCACGATGGAGGGAAACCAGGTTATTAAGGTGATGATTGTGTTAATGGATCCTCGTGAGCGGCACTGATCACGTGGCTGCGTGCTGCCCCATCACAGCCTGTAGCTGCTCTTACAACAAGGGGCTGTGTTTTCTACCTTTACTGTAAGAGCAGTGGTTGTGTATCACTGATATGTGGCTGTGCGCTCGTTGGTCATGTAACGAGCAGCTGCTCAGAGGCCACTTAGTTGCTGTGTTTGTCTTCCACCTGATCTAATCAGCTCCTGTTTCACTTCTTATCAGCACTCCCAGAAGCACAGATGTTAATCGTGTGTG